CAATTCGCATAAGTCATCATGGAAGTCAAAGTCCCGATTTTCTCTCATAGTAAATCCATTGGAATAACCCCGATAAGTCGTCATTATGTACAAGTCGACGCCCTCAGACATGTCCCATGTAATACAAACAACAGTAATTTCCCATCTGTAAGTAGTCATCAGAAATGCTGATGGCGCGCGCGCAGTGTACGGTCTAGGGGATATCTGGAGATGCAGATATTTCTTACCACAATGCAGTGCCTGCCTATATAAGCTTGAGAAACCTAATGAGACAGTAAGTTAAGGTTCCTGCAGAGATTGTGCTAAATACATTTCATAATGTCCATGATTATAGATGTATAGTAGAAGTATGACATATATACACCAACATAAAATAACTTGTGATAACAAAATTTGTTTAATAATCCCATCGCAATCCGCAGTAGTCAAGAACTAGAACTTCTAATTACAAATGCTAATAAAGTTTATCTCAGTTAGATCCAAATTAAGGTAAAAATAACTTACACTGACGAAATTTTCGTCCATCTCTCCGATAGACTTCATCAGACCTGAGGAAGTCTATCGGAGAGATGGACGAAAATTTCGTCAGTGTAAGTTATTTTTAACTTAATTTGGATCTAACTGAGATAAACTTTATTAGCATGTGAACTATAGAGATCCAATAAAATTATTACAAATGCATTTACAATTTTAATCACAACACTCATCTGGTTTCAATATTACATTTAATGCAAACATGGCATCATCATGCAGCTCCTTCAAAAATCTTTCCATATCACACCTGTTGTTAAATTAAAAAGCCGTGATGTCAGCTAGTTCATGATCTATATCAACTTCTGAATTTATAATGTGAGCACAGAGCGCCAATATTTGTGAGTGGCGTGGCCGTGGCACTGAAACTGTTCCTTTCAGTTCATTTTTGTGTTTCCGAATCCAAAGTAATCCTTGCTGAATAGTTTGAAATATTGCAATCTTCATATTGTTCATCTGAAACAGACAGTTTGGTAATAATGTAAATACTTCACGTCCGTTGCTGCTGTTAGTTTACAGCTTGAAAATTCACTTGAAACGACTTGAACATTCGCACTAAATATGCAACATATTGCTACAAATAGTATATTGTGATTACAAATTGATGCCTTTTTTTTACAATGTACTTTATTTCCAACTAGAGCACTCGGAGAGCACAGACCTCCGCCAAGGCAGCTGAATTTTTTCAATGTGAATGTTTCAATGACAATTCGCATAAGTCATCATGGAAGTCAAAGTCCCGATTTTCTCTCATAGTAAATCCATTGGAATAACCCCGATAAGTCGTCATTATGTACAAGTAAAGCCCGGCTTTATTATTACAGTGTGCTGACATGATGCCTGTCCCATATTCTCTCATCGTGACCCATGCACGGATAGAGAGATGGTATAATCAGAGACTGGTAGTGCATAACACGTGCTCGGATAACATAGATGGGACTATCACTGTTCACATGATAGGTGTAGACTGATACACCCAACCGCAGAACAGTCGATCGTGGGCATCCAGGCTTTTGTGGTTCTGAAAGTCCTTGAGAGTATAAAATGATCTCGGCTAGAATATTAGGTAGTCAATTCACGAGATCCGACTAAGTACGTGATGGGCACAAGTTGTGGTCCTCGCTCCATTCTCGTACAGGTGTCGATTCCCAATGCACGCAATTTTCTCAAGATAGCGTGCTTTGGCTACGTTGTCTATAGTGAATCAAAGTACTTATCCATACTACGTACACTACAGACAGTCAGCAAACGTACATACACTAGCTATTATAAAAAGCTGCGTTTGATAGCTAGAGTAGATGCAGTAAAATCGGTGAAATTTCTGAACTCTCACGATGTAAACAAACTCAAATCTATGAACATAATATGTGTTGCGTGCAATCCAATTCTGCTCAATCTACGAATCTGCCGACTGTGTGGCAGCCTCATTGAACTGCAGCACCTAAAACCCACGCTGATAAACCTGTCTGGTAAATCAAGATCCTATAATTCTAATATCTATTGCAATAATAACACTATAGCCAATGTAAAATCGGTTGATTGTGCAAAGGGGCACATTACACGCAACACGTGTTCGCTCTTTTTGTAACCGGTATGGCCGGTGGCACGGGATTATAGGTAATATTGCTATTTTTAGACCAAGTCGAAGAACCCTCTATAGTCTAAAGAGCTCACTACGGTTGCTATAATGGGAGATATGCTATATAATGGGAGTTCTCGCATATATACTCTTGTTTTATATAATGTAGGTGGATAGTGGTGGTGAGCTATAGTGTCATTGACACTTTCATTATTTCAAGGGAGGAGAGAATCGGCTTATTGCAGAATATATGCTGCGGCATAGGGAAACTGGTCGAGGGAGTCATATAGCAGGCAGAAGTGTTCACAATCAAAGGTATTTCTGATAGTTTGATTTACTGCACGTTTCTCTGCTGCATATTTTCTTATTGAAATGTGACATTACATGGTTTGTAAGCATCATGGAAAATCCTGAAAAACTTCGAAATTTGTGATTTCAAATTGCAAGCCTTGAAAAAAAAGATTTAGTCCTGGAATTTCCTTTACGTTTGATTGAAAATCTTGATTTAAGTGGAAAATCTGTGTGCTTGTCATTCGGTTCTAAGTTTTATTTTGATGATTTCATGTGCTTCCAAAAAATGCTAAATGTCATGGAAAAGTCCTGGAATTTTACTGGTCTCCAGGTGTGCGAACCATGAATTAAGATTTTTTATCTCCAAATTTCCCTTTCGGTAGTGCTCTTTTTAAGAGTCATGCAAGAAAAATATGAAAATTATAATGAAATTTTTGAAAAATTGATTATTTCCTTTGCTACTGTGTTGCAGACGTGAACGGCTATGGAGAGACTTGTTTGTTGGTGCTACAAGTTTTTACTGGAACCTGTTTTACAGGATGCAATCATCTGGTATTCTTGATCCGTTAAATGACATTCATCTTTGGGCACTTCATTATAGCTACGTCTACACGACGAACCTTAACTCGAGTTAAGCGTCTACACGGGGCTTTAACTCGAGTTAAGGTAACTCAAGTTAGCGTTAACTCGAGTTAGCTTAACCTCGCCAGTCGATCGAGGTTAAGCTAACTCGAGTTACAGATTGTCCGGGGGGAGAATGGCATGGGGGGTAAATGGCATGGGGGGTAATTGTCCGGGGGGTAATTGTCCGGGGGTAATTGTCCGGGGGGTGATTGTCCGGGGAGTATTTGTCCTGACACCCTGCTAACAGGGAGTTTCTTACTTTGTGAAATGGATAATGTGTCAATCATAAATGTTGTTGGACGTGACTGGTAGAAAAATAGTTGCTAGTTTCAGTGTAAACACATGGATTTCCTTTGGTTTTATACACAGGTGGCGCATAGTTATTCACGGTGGTATAGATGGATTCTCCCGTAAGTTAATGTTTCTAAAGGCCAGCAACAACAACCGGGCATTAACAGAGCTACAAGGTTTCGAGGAAGCTATTTTACAGTTTGGTGTTCCTTCCCGCATTAGAACTGATAAGGTACGTAGGGGTTTGCTTAACTGTTAAGGCATTGACAAACACTGACAGTGTGACGGCTAAATGATAGCCTAAATGATGCGATAGGAAGTGCAATCTACTTTTGCTAACAGCAGTATGGTAGGTTTTTGTTTGGTAATTAAAACTTGTTATGGTCATAGTCATTACTTTAGTAACCACAACCAACACCACACATGCTGCTGTGTGTGCTGCACTATTAAACCATTTTTGTACTCGGCTGATTTTTAGCTCACCTTGACATCGTCAAGATGAGCTATTGCCATGGGGTGTTGTCCGTCGTGCGTCCGTCCGTCCGTCCGTCCGTCCGTCAACATTTGGCTATGGTCAACGATAACTTAAGAACCTTTTGACCCACATGTTTCAAATTACATATCGTACAGTTGTTACTCCTATGGGAGAGATGTGAACGTCCTATTTTGGAGCACGCCAGTTGACCTTGTTTCGAGCCCTGCCCACTTTTTGACAAAAATGGAAATGGCCATGTCAGTCAAGGTTCAATGGATTTTGCTCATTTTTGGTATGTGAATGAATAAGGACTGGACCCCAAAACATATCACAGGGTATTTTTTTTTAAATTATGCAAAATATTGGATCGCATAGTATAGAGTTCCGCGATTTTTCATATTACCCACAATGCAACGCCGCCGGCCATGACGGATACAGAAACCAGTTCAGGCATGGTACAAGTACATTGAGCAACGCACCTCTGCTCATTTTATATTCGCCTATTAAGCAAATGCATCACAACACCGCTCTCCTGCGGTGTTGTCAACTGCAGCAATTGGTATCAAAGAGAGCCACACAGCTTCAGCTTCAGCGTGATCACAATACAAGGTAAAGTGACGAGAGACCAGGCGGACCACAGACGCTTGGAGCATTTTCAATAAAAAAGCAATGCTGAATAAACACGAAATGTATTTACTACCAATGTCTTAATGTTTGTCTACTCTCTTTAGCCTAGTATTGCCGATAATTACCTGTAAATGTCGGTCAAATGCTCCTCTGCAACACACAGGTACACCGCACGCACGGCGCACGCCGCTACACATTTACGCTTATATACATATATCGCCGGCATCCAGTAGGCAGCTATTTGAGTGGGGTGGTGACTTCTCTTGCAAGTATAGCATACTCTATATAAAAAAGCACCGAGGCAACATGTGAACAGAATTCACCAAGCCCGGCTTTACAATTACCTACATGCACACGCACGCACGCACGCACGCACGTGTACCTGCACACACACGCACGTACGCACGCACGTGTACGTGCACACACACGACGCACCGCAAGCACGCATGCACGCACGTGTACGTGCACACGCACGCACGCACGCACAAACGTGTACCTGCACACGCGCGCACGCACGCACGTGTACGTGCACCTGAACGCACGGACGCATGCACGCACGTGTACGTGCACACGGCACGCACGACACATGCACGCACATGTACGCCACTCACGCATGCACGCACATTACGTGCACACGCACGCACGCACCGCACGCTACGCACGGAACGCACGCGTACGTACACGCGTACGCACGACACGCCAACACACGCCGCACGCACACACGCACGCACACCACGCACGCACGTTTTACATACACGCGCCACCACGCAAGCACAATAAATCGGTAATAATCACTATCGGGTGTTGGTCGTGTAGACGCTACTTAATCGCTAACTCGAGTTAACGCTTAACTCGAGTTAAGGTTCGTCGTGTAGACGAGGCCTAAAAATCTTCACTCATAGAATTCAGGAATCATTTTGGCACTGTTCTAGGAAGCTTCGGATAATCACCTATAAGGACTGCTGAAAACCACACCCAAATCAGCTGCTGGATTCAAGGACAATTAATCCAATGCATGCTGAAGATCTAACCAGGTGGGTAACTAATGTTTGTGTTACGTACAAATCTTAACATCAAATGCAGTAGTTTCTTCAATTTCAGCCAATAATATAACATGATATTTAAGGTTGTGGAATATTTTTCCCACAAAATCTTGTAGCGGTCTGCTCCTTTTATTTTCACAATAATTAAGTCATGTTGCAAATGCTGCTTACATCTTCAAATATCGCTTTTAAGTTATCACTATCAGTGCTCGAAATAAGAAAAAAAAGGTGGTTGTCCTGGCGGACAACCCAGGCCATCAAAATCAGGTTGTCGCGAACAATTTCTGTTTGTCCCAAAAAAATTATCCAAATCTCCTATTTTCAATCACATAATAATTGGTCGAAAAACACCAAAAAACAGTGGTGTAGCCAGGATTTTTTAACAAGGGCCAAAAACAGCGAACTGCGCAAAATAGTGGATGACTATATATTTTAATGGCTCCTCCGCCTCCCTCTCCACACCCTACGGCTCCTCTACCTTCTCTGCCAATCTTTGTTTGGGGCTGCCATGCGAAAAGGCGACATT